CAATTTAAAAAAAATTATGTATCTTTTGGGTTAGAGAAACAAAAGCATTTTGTAAACCTAAAGGTTAAATGAAGTCTTCAGGAAAATGTAAAAGTGCTTTTATCAAATTGAAATGAAAGCTAACAGTATCTAGCTTACTGAAATGTAGTCATTCTCAAGTAATGCCATAATGATTTTCAGACTTAGCAATAGCTGAGCTTTGATAGAATTTATCTACCTACTATAATAATAATAACAATAACAATAACAAGACTACTACTACTACTACTAATAATAATAAACAACCAGCAAAAAATATTTCTTAAGAAGAACCTTAATCAGAGAAGGGCATTTAATTTGCATTATTTGTGTTCATGACTTAAAGGGAAGGAGTCAGAAATTCTAGAAATTCTAGATTTAGTAGTGGAAAATACTTCTTCCTCATTTGGTTTCTCTAGGTATTTTGTCTTGCATTTGCTTTGGAGACATACACTGTTTTTGTTAAATTTGACTTAAGCTTTTTAGTTGTAGTGATTTGGTATTACTACCTATTTGCTTATTTCATTTCTAGGGACCAGACTGTAGTTCATCTTATTTAGTAGAATTTTTACTATAGCTCCAAAAAAGGAATGTTGTTTTCTTCTGGTACTAGTTGCTGAAAGAAGACTTTTTCAGATGGCATCTTAGATAAAAGAATGTGTCTTCAAGCAGTACAAGAAAATGGGTGCTCCTAGACTCAAATTTTGGTTCCCAAAGTCCTACTTGTTTGCTAACATATTCTAGAGATTATGAAACTGTGTGGGCACATTGGGTTTTGACATTTTGACAGAGTCCTTTCAATCTTGTCACTTTCCTGTTTATTTTTGACAGAATGGTGTGATTTTTAAGTATTCAGCTAGTAAGGTACACTTGCTTCTTCTTCCTACTAAAAAGTCATTCATTTTGCATTAAATGCTTGTATGGGATAAAATAGACAAAACATTCCTTGGAATTTGGACCAGAACTGATGAGTGTCATGACACTGAAGACCTCGCATATTCATTGTCATTCTTTTTTGACCTCTATTTATGTTTGTAGTTCTGTCAGAGATCTTTCTTCTCTTATTTCTCTCCTTCGTAGTTTTCTAGTAGGCAGGTCTTAGTGTACACAAGATTTGGGATTAAAGTCTCTTCAGTGTGAGGATGTTTGAACCTGGTTACTCTGTATCACAATTCTGAACACTGAACTACTGTAGATAAGGAGGCCATATCTTGACAGAAAAAACCAGAATAGGATAGGAAAGAAAAGGTTGCATTTTAGTGGTTATATATCCATTTTGCAGTTCTGGTTTATAAACTCCAATTGCAGGAGCCATCTTTTTGCATCCCAGTTTAAGATCCTAAGTACAAGTGGAGATAGGATTTGGGATAAACCAAAATTGACTAGTATTGACTAGTTTAGTTGCCTCTCTGTGCAAGGTTTCCTTAAAGATAAATCTTTACATATTGATAGGGTATATCCTTACATAAAACTGGGGGACTGTTTTAAAACTTCTGTAGGTTAGTCAAAGGTGCTTCAGGATTAGGCATACAGCAATGAAGTTTGCATCACTCAAGTAATTTTTTTTTAAATTAATTTTGGGGGTGTTTCTTTTTTCCCCATTTATATACTGACTTGGTTTGTATGTGTGGTATGCGACCTCTTGAATATTGCTCCAGTGCCACATAGTATTATTTCCCAGATAATGTTTTGTCTCTATATATTAAAGGCATATTGAAAGGCTTAGCATAATCTGTATGTAAAACTTATGCTATCAGAAATGGATTCTGTTTCAAATATTGCAGATGTGCTTATGGGATAAAGGTTAACACGCCACTAGGGAATTCTAAAACTGTGCTTGCAGTAAAGAGAGACTGATTTGGGGAAGGTCTTGAGTTTTAATTTGTTAGCACTTGTCTCTACCCCATTCTGCAGTTGTGTTACTGTACATGACAGTTAATGGTCAGTAGCAAAAAGGAAGGTGAATGGCAGGGACACCTATATAAAGGAAGATGAGGGAAAACGGAGGTCATCAGGCCTGCTTATGATTTATTATCTGCTTGCTGTTAGAACAGCACAAGAGTGATAAAAGGAGGAAAAAACAAGAACTGTGTGAAAATAGAATTAAAATTTAAATGGGAAAGGAGAGGAAAGCATGCATGGTAGGAGAGGGTATAATATTTCTATATATATGAATAATCTGGTTTATATGGAGTCAAGTAAAGCATTTATCTTCTCTTATGTATATTTAGGAAAAATGTGTTCATTGTGAGGTGGATAAAGGCTGTACTAAGGTTATATTGAGATCGGAGAGTATTACTTTTAATTTCTGAAATGCACACCCAGGTTTGTTTCATAATAGTGTTGCATGTGGCAGACCTTTCTACTTGGCTGCAGTGTTTTTCTTAAGCCTACATAATGGTTCATATATATAAAAGTAAACAGTAACACCATAGGCTAAATATAAATGGAGAAGGAAATCTACGTTTAGAAACTTAAAACTTAGAAAAGCTTATACTTAATAAAGTAATCATTAGTCAGCTTGTTTGTGTTTCTCAATATTTTTAATTATTATTATTATCATATGATGATTATAGTTTAATTATAAGATCATAAATATATTGTACTGTTTTACATAATAACATTTCTCACAGTTTTATTGGATTTTTACTGAACCTTTAATTATTTATTTGTATTGATATTTTTTCAGTGCACACCAAAGTGTGGCCCAGGATTCAAACACCGAATTGTTCTGTGCAAAAGTAGCGATCTTTTAAAAACCTTTCCAGCCGCGCAATGCCAAGATGAAAACAAACCGCCAGTGCGTATCCGCTGTAGTTTAGGCCGATGTCCTCCTCCTCGCTGGGTCACTGGAGACTGGGGACAGGTGAGATAGTCCATGCCAGTCTTCACTGCTGTTAGTCTCCTACATTAGCACCTTTTAGAACATGATATTGCTGGAAACAGCTAAATGATGGTTCCCAGGACTGAAACAAAAGCTTCTCAACCCTGTTTGTGTCAGATTGAAAAGTGATTCTTTATGATGGTTGTCTGCCAAACTATAAAGTATTTGCTGAGAACAATCTAGTTTGTTCTGGATGAGTCTTTAAAAAAATTTGATAGTCCATCCTACATTTTTTGGAAGGGTAATTTGAGATACAACAGTGTATTTATATATATTTTTTAGTATTTTAAATTGCATTTAACTTCCTTGAGAAACATGATTGAAATACAAAGCCAATTCCTATTTTAGTAACATATAATTTTTTTAGTAACATATATTTTAGTAACATATATTTTTTCTGTCTGAAAAAAAACCCACTTTGAAATCAATATAATTTTACATAAGATATATTGAATTACCATACAGGAAGATAAACTGTTACAGGAAAGGCTGAATAGTGCTGCCATTGTGCAGTGTTTCTAAATATGATTTACTAAGTTTCCTTATTTCTTTATGTTTTTGCATCTCAATTGTGATCAGTGGCCTATTTTTAGAATAATAATTCAGTGATTCAGTTTCTGTTTGCTGAGTAATTTGCTGCTTATGAAAATAAATCACTTTAGCTTAACTAACCATGGAACAATCATTTGTGATATTACAGTCTAGTCGGCTTTTCTTTTATGGTACTTGTTCAGATGCACATTTATGTTAAGGTGATACTGTACTAAAATTGTAACCATTTAGTTATGGAAGTTAAAAATGTTTTGGAACAGAAAAATATTTTTGTTTGAAAGTCAGTTTACTTTTTCCTTATAAAAAGGTCCTCTAGCAGATTTGAATTCTTGTTCTTTTTGGTTTTTATTCTTTATTCTAAAGTCATTATATCTCTCTTAAAAAATTAATTTGAACTCAGAATGATATACAAAATAGCGTGAATTATATTGTTATACCTGAAATCTGAACTTTTCAGGGAGTCAACATGGCATTGCATTTGCTTTTCCTTGAAAGACAAATGCTTGCATGTACTGTCAAAAATAAAAATTCTAAACCATTTTATGAAAATTATTTTCTCTATATTTAAAAATTGGATCCAAGTTTCTAAATTTTTAATCTTTTTTTACTTTATAGTGTTCTGCACAGTGTGGTCTTGGGCAACAGATGAGAACAGTACAGTGCCTCTCATACACTGGACAAGCATCCAGTGAGTGTCCAGAAACCCTTAGACCTCCATCAATGCAGCAGTGTGAAAGTAAATGTGACAGTACTCCCATTTCCAACACAGAAGGTAAGTTTGCCATTGTAATATGATTTATTCTGAAAAGAATAAAGTGACATGGTCAGAATGACTGCATTTAATTATTAGTAAAAATCTATATGACATTGTCTCTCAGGCTGCGAATTATTTTTTTTACAATTATTTTCTGATTAGTCATTGTAGTTCAGTGGTAAAGTCAATGGAAACCTAAATACAAGTTCTTTGTTTAAAAAAGTACCCTTAAAATGTATAACCTAAGTCTCAAACAAAATACTATTGTTTGTGTCATTGATTTTCTAGTCTCTTCATTGTTTCAGTGGAAATGTTCATAATAGCATGACATACTTTTTATCCACTGACCTTCTACCTGATTTATCAGTGTTAAACACAACAATGTGGTGGCAAAAAATAGTAAATTCTGTATTCATTGAAAGACTGAGACCATAGATTTAATTTTTTTTTTTTTAAAGGCAAGTTTGTCCTACAGTCTAGCTGGCTTTGGTAGTCATTCAATGCCTACTGTATCCATCTATGTCCAATGCCATAGATTCAAAATTGTCATTTGAGAACATTTTCATAATACAATTTTCATGGGCTGTTTTAATTCCTATTATTTATATTATTGGGAGCCCCTGGTGGTCTAGTGGTAAGGGCGCGGCGCTGTCACCGCTGAGGCCCGGGTTCGATTCCCAGTCAGGGACACTCTCCAGGCAGATGGAGCTCGTTAACCCTTAAAGGCAACCCATCTACGTCCTGAGGACCTCGCTGCCACCGTCCAAGCTCGCTTGGCCCCAGCAGATGAACCTTAGGATTAAAGGGTGGGCTCAGTTCCGCGCACACTGTGTCTCACCTAAAAAATCCAATGCGCAGGCTGGAAGGTGGAAAGACCTTCCCCGGATCTTCGCTCGTGAAGACTGGCCATTATTTATATTATTTCTGTAGATATTAATTTTAATATTTCTATTAATACTCCTATTATTTCTGTTAATTCCTATTATTCCTTTTATTTCATTGTTTAGTGTTCTCAAGTAATCTTTAAGTGGTGATTATCAGTCTAGGAAACATTCTAGCCTTTAAAGCTCAAAGGCTTTTACTTTCCAAACACGGATGTTGACTTTTGTCGAAAGTAAGGAAGGCAGTAAATTACTTATAAGTAGGCATGAATCAGTCCCAGTCTCCTCTTAATTTCAAGATGACAAGGTCATATTGTTATTTGTGGTAATTACACTAGTAATTCTTCAGTATTTTCAGGAAAATATGCTAATCTCTTACAGAAGAATGCAGTCAGGGTTTCTGTGTGTGATCTCTGTACACTGGGTGGCTGTGGACTTCTTTACAGTAGAACTACTATACAGGCTAACTATGAACAGTAAGTCTGTTGGCACTAGTGTTTTTTAGGGACCTGTATGTTCACTGGAAAATTCTTGGGATCCTCAAATAGAAAATGTTGAAATTCACACAGTATTCCAGATGGGTGTCAGCTCTGGCCTGTACTCTGAGAGAGCCAGGAGGAAGCCAGCTCCTTACTGACAGCCATCCAGGCTCATTAGCATGGTTTGGAAGAATCTAAGGGAAAAAGACTGTGACCTGGCTATCAGTATTTGGGTTTCAAGGAAAGAGTCAGGTCTCCCAGAGAGAGGCTTTGTCTGCTCAGGAGTGCACGTGTGTACAAAGCATACCTACCCACACATGGGGACTTTGTCTACATGCCACCTCATGACACTACCTTGTGCTTTGGGCTCCGTTGTGGGGCAAAAGCAGCTTCAGGAACAGCTCACTGGTTTGCAGCAGGGTCAGGTTAGCTGAGTGGGTTTGTTTCCTATTTCAAACCCCAGCAAACCTGATTCTCTTTGCTTCCAAATTCCAGTGCTTGCAACCTATGGAAACCATTCAACAATTTCTGAACAATTTAGTTTTGCTAACCAAAGTTAAAAACAGGAGGGTTTTTCAGAAGCTTGAGCCACTCTGCAGTATAATGATCATGTTGGTGGGGGAAAGGGATGGTTGCTTGCATAAAAAAAGATTCAAAATTTTGTGGGTACTCAAACACTAAAAGAAAGTTACAATATATCTTGTCACATTTCACATATGCTTTAGCTCTTTGTTTTTTCAAAACTTTTCATTGGTGATTTAGAATACTGTAGATGTGGTTTTGATGGGCTACCACTGATGAGGGTAACATTACATTTGCTGATGCAGTTGAACTACAAGCAGCACCTACCAGACCATTTGATATGCATTCAGAATTATTTTATGCTCTTAAGTACATATATGTCTGCTGAATCTAAACTGCTAAGGCCCATCTAAAAGTTTACCTGAAAAACTATTTTGTCTTCTTTTATGTCATTTGCGTTTTACTTATACTTTGTGTGATACACCTTTGTAGTTTCTTCCACTGGAGGCACAGTGACATTCTGTGATTTTGTTACTGTAAAATAATAGTATCATAATATTTTCTGATCACAGACTTCAGGGTGGGAGATTTTAATACATGTAGCTTACTGAAACTTATTAGCAGTAGTTACTAGGAGCAAAAAGATCTCTGCTCAACCTCTTCCATTCAACCACAGTCCTATGAAGAACTTCTTCAGCCACCATATCTATTTCAAAACTGATTTTTAAAACAGAAATTGTGGGCAACTTACAGAATATTGTCTCATTGCTGTCCAAACAGCATTGGCTGAACTGGTCCAGTTTTACTCAAGAGGAAGGATAATTTAAAGAAACATGAAAAAGGATAATTTCAAATCCTGCTTTTGGCAAAAATGCAGTTTGTGGCTTTACTTGTATTTGACCAAATGCAGTATGTATGAACGTTATTTTTGGGAGTGAACTTCTTATGTCTTATCAAGATTAAGTGCACCTTTTTACTCTTCATTTATAGTTCACTATCCGTCTCTCCTATATTTGTAGTCTTCACAAACATGAGGACATGAAATATTTCTGGAAAAGACTTGACCTCTTTTGTGAAGAGTTTTTGAAACTCAGTCAAACACAGTGACCATGTGTGGTAGAGAAATATGTCTGTTTCAACCAACTACCCCCAGTATCTTTTCTTCTGGCATTCAATTATGTTTCCAAATTAAGAATTAAAAAAATGGAAAAAGTATGTAAAATGTTGAGTAGGTGGTCTAAAAAAATTGCAAGTGCTTTATCTATGTTAATGAAATGAAAGTTTAAATAATTTCCTGACCTCTACTTGCACAGCTAAAAACTTGCATATTGGAATTATCAGAAATACCATTCAGAACAGACCCATAAGTTCAGCCTCGTGAATGCTTTCCTGGGTTCAAATACTAAAAATTCTCATTTGCACTCAACTTGCTACTACAGTATGCTTGCAAATGTCAAAACACTCTCCATAACTACCTGCCCCAGAGTAAAAATAATGTGATAGGAGATTAGGATTGTACATGCCAATTGTGTTTGTTTCAGTATTGCTTTTTTTCTTTTTTTACCTGCTTGGTGTGTCTGTTGTGTCTTTAATATTTGGTTTACAGACATCTCAGAGTCAAGGACTGTTCTGTCACACCTTTAACAACAGTATCGTAGCTTCCTCAGAAGTCATCACTTTTAGTTATCAAATCAATACAAAATATAATAATGGTCGAAGTACTGATATTTGTTCATTACCTTTTGATTCACTTTTTCTTTGTAACTGTTGTAATTTGAGAGAGATTATGGAAAGAATCCAGTATCAAATGCAACCTTAAAAAATTTACAGCATTCTCTTGAAACAAATGATATTCTGATAAATGAATCTAATTTTATTCTTCCCATCACTTAATTTTTTTAATTCAAACTTACAGGTTTCATTTTTTCTCTATATACATCTTTTCCAACTTCCTATGTTTGAAGCAAAGTTCCTTGACAAAGTCCCATTTTTAATGGATTTGGAAGGCATTGTGCAAATGCATTAAACTAAAAATCAGTCACAATATTGACTTTAGTGAAGAGGAAATCTGCAGCAACAACATTTTAGCTGTAGAACCTAAGTGTACCACTGGACTCTTATATGTAGCTCCATATCCACTGTATTGGGATAAGAACTGAACAGGGACCAAACTTTTCCATTCCCTGCCGTGCTCCTCTAATGTAACCCCATAGTCACTTTAGATACATTCCACAGAATGGGATGCAAAAGAAGGAAACCTTCCTCTGTGATGATGATCTCTGTGCTCCCTTCCTGGGAGAGTTACCTGCCAGTATCACATAGGCTACTGAGGTGGTAAGCTCAGCATATAGGGAAAACACAACTATGAAAAATAAGCTTTCATAACACTTGTCATTTTCTCCATCTCTGTTATCTACAGTGCACATTCTGTTTCAAGGATTCTTACAAATATAGAGGTGTGGTACCAGATAGTGTGAATCATGTCAGACTTCGGATAACCTCTCATGGATGGATAGAATAACTCCTGAGAAGGAAGCTGTAAAAGTATTGTAAAAAAGTTATATTTCCTAGCTCTCTAAAGTGTTTATTTATCTGAATGAATGATAATTCTTCCAAGGCAAAAAGGGCACACTTCTGAAGGCCCTGCAAACATTTTCATGGCTTTTTAAAATATTCTGTATGCACTAGACTGGACTAGAAAGAGTAATTATAAAGAAAGCAAGAAGGATGGATAGAGTAGCATGTTAAATGTCAAATTCTCTTTGTACTTCATTTTTTATTTCTAATTTTTTTCTCTCTTTAATGTTCTTAATTATTAGAGTGCAAAGATGTGAACAAAGTGGCATATTGCCCATTGGTGCTGAAGTTCAAGTTCTGCAGTCGAGCATACTTCAGACAGATGTGCTGCAAGACCTGCCAAGGACACTGACCCACAGAAAGCACAAGAATGTGCCTTGTTATTACCATTGTGGAAGAGTGTTCATCGAAGAGAGCCACACAGCGGAATGAGATTGACATCCTTGCAGATGCATTACCCTGTGGAAAACATAACCACTGGTCAGCCCCAGCTGACAGGATTTCAATATTATTTTAACTTCTGTGAAGTGGGATTTATTAATCCAAAGTGCTGGACACAGTATAATGAGGGGATGCCAAATTAGAAAAATGCACACAACACATATAGAATAGCTTACTGTGGAACATTTGTGTTCCTCTGACTAAATCCAGTAGTTTGTTTACCTCCTTGGACCGTTAAAATAATTTTTATTATGGACTTAGCAATGACACTGAATCCATTTCTATTTAAAATTGTTTAGGATGTAGTTCTTATGACTTGGTCTACTATGGAAGTAAAGAAGAATGAAAAAAAAAATGTTAAGTCATAGCTTAAAAATGTTAACTACTTTATCTCTTGACACAACACCACAATTTAAATTATAAAAGGAGCTTCGAAATGTTATTTAAGGAGAAGAAATTTTTTAGAAAAAGAATTATTTTTCCTTCATTCCACCTAATTTCCTATGGAGTAATCCATATTTCCTGAACACTGCTGTGAGCCTTATATAAAGCTACACTTAATAGAACAATCATGAGGGACTTAGTTTTAAGAGATGCAACAGTTATTGCAGTGGTGCACAAAATACAAATGTGCTATGAAACAAAATGAAATCTGCATTGCAGGATTATAGCCATCTTACCATTGTCCAAGTGAAACTGAGATTTCCACTGAAAGGGAACATATTTCAATATCATGGAGGAGGCAGACTCCAATAGAGGTGAAGACTTTATTGCCAGCTCCTTCACTACCACCATACAGGTTGCTTAGAACTCACACTTTGACTCCAGCTCACTTTTGTTTACAACACCAGCCACACAGAAGAAACAACTTTGTGGGCATCTAGATCTGGTTTACATGTTACTTTTGATTCTCC